TACAATGAGCAAATAGATTGAATTGAAAAGACATTGAACTTTGAAAATTACTCACACAGATATATACATTCATACAAACACACACACAACACACACACACAATATATATATATATATATATATAATATATATTATATATATATATATATATATATATATTATATATATATATATATATATATATAATATTTATGTGAGTGTGTGGGCCTATGTGTATGCGTGCGTGTGTGGCGTGTGTGTGTGTGTGTGTGTATACAGTATACATATATACATACATATGCATATAAGAGAGAGAGGGAGAGGGAAGAGAGAGAGAGAGAGAGAGAGAGAGAGAGAGAGAGAGAGAAGAGAGAGAAGAGAGAGAGAGAGAGAGAGAGAGAGAGAGAGGAGAGAGGAGCGAGAGAGCGAGAGCGAGAGAAGAGAGAGAGAGAAAGAGAAAGAGAGATAAAAAGAAGAAAGAGAGAAAGAGAAACAAACAAAAAAAAAAGAGAGACAAAACAGACAAAGACAAAAGGGACAGATCAAGAAAGAAAAAAAAGAAAAAAAAAATCCAAGCCAGACCCAGCTGCGCCCAAGCAGAACGACTCCGCCAGCACCTGTTCTTGCCGGCCGGAAGTGCAGTCGTTGCAGCGCCGATCGCAGCCGCGTAGATCAAGCAGGCGCCTCTGCTTGCATCGCGTCACGCTGCTTCAGGCAAGCGTGAATGGGGGAGGGGGAGGGGAGGGGGAAGGGGAAGGGGGAAGGGGAAGGGGAGGGGGAGAAGGGGAAGGAGGAAGGGGAGGGCGAAGGGGAAGGGGAAGGGGAGGGGAAGGGGGAGGGGAAGGGAATGGGAGTGGGAAGGGGAAGGGGAAGGGGAAGGGGAAGGAGGAAGGGGGAGGGTAGGGGGAAGGGGAAAGGAGGGGGAAGGGGAAGGAGGAAGGGGGAGGTAGGGGGAAGGGAAAGGGAGGGGAAGGGAAGGGGAAGGGGAAGGGGAGAGGAAGGGGAGGGTAGGGGGAAGGGGAAAGGGGGAGGGGGAAGGGGGGGAAGGGGAGGGGAGGGGAAGGGGGAGGGGAAGGGGGAGGGGGAAGGGGGAAGGAAGGAGGAAGGGGGGGTAGGGGAAGGGGGAAGGGAAAGGGAGGGGGGAAGGGGAAAGGGGAAGGGGGAAGGGGAAGGAGAAAGGGGAGGGTAGGGGAAGGGGGAAGGGGAAAGGGAGGGGAGAGGGGAAGGAGGGAAAGGAAGCAGGGGGAAGGGGGGGAGGAAGGGGAAGGGGGAGGGGGAAGGGGAGGGGGAGGGGGGGGAGGGGAGGGAGGGGAGGGGAAGGGGAAGGGGGGCAGGGAAGGGGGGGGGGGGGGGGGGAATGGAAGGGGGAGGGGGGTAAAGGCAGATCCTCGTCCGATGATGTAGAATCCTGTGGTTTATGTTCTCTCTCCCTTTCTCACTCTTGCTGTCATCTTCTTCCTCTTTTTTCCTCTTTCTTTTTTTCTTTCTCTCACTCTCTTATTTTCTAGATCTCTTCCCATTTTTTCTTTCTCTCCTCTTATTTTCTAGATTTTCTTCTTTTCTTCTTCTCTCTCTCTCTCCTCTCTCTCCTCTCTTCTCTTTTCCTCTCCTCTCTCTCTCCCCTCTCTCTCTCTCTCTCTTCCCCTCTCTCCTCCCCACTCGCCTCCCTCCCACCCCAATCCCCCATTTTCCTCCCTTCCATTCTCATCAAAGTCCGAAAACTCGACCGAAAGACCGAATCTCGAGACCGAATTTACCCGAAGCCAGTCCGGGCGGGTTAAGCCAACGAGTTATTCCAAGCCGGGAAGATGACAGGCACACGAAGGTGAAAATGAAGTGATTTAGAAGATTTTAATAAATGCTTTGGAGAAGACTTTCACGTGTTTTTTTTTTTCTTTGCTTTTCTTTTTCTTTTCCTTTTTGACTTTCGTTTTTTTTTTTTCTTTTTTCTTTTCTTTTTCTTTCATTTTTGACTTTCACGTTTTTTTTTCTTTGCTTTTCTTTGCTTTTCTTTTCTTTTTCTTTTCTTTCCTTTTTGACTTTCACGTTTTTTTGTTTAGTTTTTTTTTGTGTTTCTTTTTCTTTCTTTCTTTCCTTTTTGACTTTCATGTTTTTTTTTCTTTTCTTTTCTTTTCTTTTGATTTCTTCTTTCTTTCTTTCCTTTTTGATTTTCACGTTTTTTTTATTTCTTTCTTTTCTTTTTTTCTTGACTCTGAGGTTCCGGGAAAAGAAAGGAGGAATAAGAGGATGAGGAGAGAGAGAAAAACGAAGATAGAAAATAGCGATAACGAGGTGAAGAAAGAGGAGAGAAGATTGGAGAGTAGAGCTGAGGAATAAAGGGGGTAGAAGAAAAGGGAGGAATAAAAGAGAGCAGGGCATGGAAGAAAGAACAAGGGGAGTAAAAAAAGACATGCAAAAGGAAGAATAAAAAGATCTAATAGACAGAGAAAGAGAAGAAGGAGAACCGGCCTTTAAGAGATGCAAAAGGAAGAAGAAAGAGATCTAGAACACAGAAAAAATAGGAGAAAGAGACAGAAAAAGAGAAGGAGAACCGGCTTTTAAGAGATGCAAAAGGAAGAAGAAAAATACCTAAAAGACAAAAAGAAAAAAAGAAAAAAAAAAGAGAAAAAGAACCAACCAACAACCCAGTCTCCAAAAAGCCCCGCCTCCCCCTCGCCCCCCCCCCCCCCCCCAAGCCAAAGGGACAGTTGCCAGGGTGACACTTCGCCAAAAGCGCTGAGTCGCAAGAGCGTGAAGCGAAGAGCGATTTGATTGGCCCCCCCCCCCTACCCCCCCCCCACCCCTACCCCCTCTAGTAATATCTATCATGGACTGACGGCAGCATCGGATCGATTTGGTGACGTCACCGCACGCAAGGATGACGGTGACCTTTTCTCCGTGTCATGGGAGGTCGGGTGATTTTCTCTCTCCCTCTGTCTCTGTTTCTCTCTCTCTCTCTCTTTTTCTCTCGCCCCCACCTCCTCCACTCTCTCTCTCTCCTTCTCTCTCTTTTCTCTTCTTTCTCTTTCCTCCCATTCCCTCTCTCTCTCTCTCCCTCTATCTATCTCTCCCTCCCTCTCCATCTCCTCTCTCTCCCTCTCCTTCCCTCCCTCTCTCTCTCTCTCCCTTTCCCTCCTCCCTCTCCCTCTCTCTCTCCCCTCCCTCCTCCCTCCCTCTCCTCTCTCCCTCTCCCCCCCTCTCTATCTCCCTCTATCCCTTCTCTCCTTCCCTCCCTCCCTCCCCTTCTCCCCATCTCCCAAAAGCGACGACCTTCCCCTCCCGACGGCGAGTGAGAGCGCCAGGCGACTCACCCAAACACCCGCCTCGCAAGCTCTCCTCGATCGCCTTTTGTTTCCTCGAGACAAACACACCGCGAGGAAGGAAGCCACAAGAAGGTTGCAATCCGAGCATGCATTAAATCAAGGTTGCGTTGCAGCGGCCGCCGGAGGTGCATCACCAACGGGAGTAGGTCAGTACCGAAAGAAATGACACAGAAAAAAGGAGATAGAATAAAAAAATGTAAGTAAAACAAGATGCAAAAAGGAAAATGAGAATTCTAGTCTCGAGAGTCGACAATTTTATTTAACATAAATGCAAACATTCTCGAATATAGCTCTTGATTTGACTTTGCTTGGCTGAAAAAAGTTGACGGAAGGGTTTTCAGACGGAAACGATCATTATCGTCTGACTGGAAAATCGACAATTCGCCCAAAATGGACAAAACTTCAGAAAATTGTCAAAAAAATTGACGGATAATGTGCTAGTGTGACAAAACCTTTAAACTCGTCGGAGTGTGGAGCGAGCAAGCAAGCAAGTGAGGCCAAGGGGGGGGAGCCGAGGGGTGGGCCAAGGGGGAGAGCAGAGGGGAGAGCCAAGGGGGGGAGCAAGGGAGTGAGCCAGGGGGGGAGCCAAGCGAGCGAGCCAAGGGGGTGAGCCAAGGGGTGAGCCAAGGGGGATGGGAGCAAGGGGGGCCAAGGGTGGAGCCAAGGGGGAGAGCCGAGGGGTGAGCAAAGGGGGAGGAGCCAAGGGGGAGAGCCGAGGGGGAGCCAAGGGGAGAGCCAAGGGGGTGAGCCAAAGCGAGCGAGCCAAGGGGGTGAGCCAAGGGGTGAGCCAAGGCGGGGAGCCAAGGGGGGGGGAGCGANTCAGGGGTGTCGAGGGATCCTACTCAGACCTGGGTGAGCTTGGGTCAGGGGTGTCAAACACGAGGTCAGCGGCAAATCTGCTATTTCAGTCTAACAGTCGGCGGTTTTACAGATTAATCAAGCCAGTCCTTTGTCTCTGAAGGTTACCATACACTCTTACAGTGTTTTTTTTTCTTCTATTATTTTTGTAATGAATTATATAGCCTATGTTTTTACGCCGACCATATATGGCCGTTTCGTCGCGTTTCCTCAGAATGATCTGGCTCGCATACTGTGTACTAAGGTGAAAAGTGGCCTCCTGAGGGTATATAAGTTTCACAGCCCTAGCTTAGGGGGTCATCCGTATATATCGACATCTTTTAAGCCGTATAGAACCCACCCTTTTTCACTAACACCCACATCCTTCCTAGTATAATGGAGTACTTTCAGAAAAGCTGATTCCTGAACATCTTGAACGACATATTTTAAAAAGTGAAAGAAGAAAGAAAGAAAAGGATAAATTTATGATAATATTAGTATAACATATATACAAAATAAAATAGATTTCAAGTGTGCATTTTTCATAAACCCCCAATTCCCTCACTTAGTCTAGTGTCTTAATTATGTCTTATGTGTCCTCACCACCAATTTATGCATCAATCACTTTTGCTTTTTGGTCTATCACAAGCTAATGACTTCTAAGAGACTGCAATTAAGGAAGTCAAATAATATGATCATATTAGTAGTGCAATAAGCCTGTTTCAATTGTTTTTATATTAGCATATAACCATCTCTACACTCAAATACGTAGACACGCACCTATGCCCAAAAGTTTTGTAATAAGTATATTTATCATAGATATATACTATAGTTTATCGTTAAGGTATCAGTTCATTCCAGATTGTGGCAAGGAATTCAAAGATTTCGAATATGAGTATGAAGGGGAGCCCTGCTGTGTTAAGACAACAACTATGAAGAGAATTACTGGGATCCCAGTGAAGGTAATACCACACACACACACACACATACACACACACACACACACACACACACACACACACACACACACACACACACACCACACACACACACACTATATATATATATATATATATATATATATATATATATATATATATATATATATGGGGGAAATTTTGCAGTCCAAGTGGTCGATATTGATCCGAAGAAGCAAAACTTACATGGTTGAGACTTTATGCTGTCATACATCATGAATACACCGCCGCAACGTAAAGAAAAAAAAAAAAAAGAGAGAGAGAGAGAGAGAAAGAAATGCAAAAATTCGGTTTCCCTTATAACTCCCTGATATGCTGGAATGATTTTTTTTTATCAGAAGCAAAAGATTATGGAAGCTTCAATATATATTTTTTTTTTTTCCTTGTCCTTGTAAGGAAATTTGCAGTGCAGTTATTTGGTGCACTTACGTCTCGAAGTGGGCCTGACAAGACATATTTTTTAATAATAATTAATGATAAACAGAACATAATCAATGAAACAAGGAGACACTGGGAAGTAAAGGCAACAATTATAAATGACATAGAATGTTATAAATGACATAGAATGTACAAGTAAAGTCTGCCAAAAAATCACCTGATTGAAAAAAAAATAAACTAAAAATTAATAATTTTACAGTTGGAAATGAACATAAATAATAGCATAGATATAGATGAGCAGTTCATAATGATAAAAACAAAAACAACAATAAAACAACAGCAGCAATGGTTGCACTATTAGTCGTCACAGTGGTAATAATAATCACAAACAATAATGACAATAATACAGAGTAGATAACATAAATGAACACTAAAAATGACAAAACACAGAACGATAACTAAACAGTCTCCATAATCACTTCGTCCACAGAATGGTCATATGAAGAATATTACGAAAGCTCGGGTGATGTTTCGACGGCGAGTTCAGTCGATGTCCAGCAGCGGAAGAAGAGGGATGCACATGTTCCTGCTCCGAAGAGACGCCCCGGGCAACGATCGCTGTCAAAAGGCGAAAAGGTGAAATTGAAAAAACCAAAGAGGACGAATCTGATCAAGGAGAACAGATGGGCGAAGCGGAACCACGGGAAAAAGACAGACGAGATGCGCAGGCTGGGCGTCGAGAAAGCCCTTCCCAAACCGGACCCTGAGCGCGGAGTCTTCCTGGACTTCGGCGATTTCACGGAGGTATGGAGGAACTCTTTTAAAAGAACTGTTTTTTTAGTAATATTTCACTTCTAAAAAATCAATTCAAACGCTTAATAATCCATCTTCTAATCCTGGACTTCACCCCTGTCTGTTCTTCATTCATAGCCTCAAATAAAGAACTAAATGGGTATTTTGTAGGCGTAACTGAATCACGGGTGTTTTACAAGCGTAATGTTGGAACATTTTTCAGCGCAACGAGCACCTGTTCCTGGAAAACCCCGCCCGGACGCCTCACCAAAGGACTAAAAGAGAGAGTGAGTTTTTAAGTATCATATGTTACTCTATATGCCTATGTCTGTTTGTTCACGCCTTTATTCATTGTTCACTATGGATTTCTCTAAGTGAGGGTGTTATCATGAGCTCATGTCAAGGTTTTAAAGGCATTTTGACAGCAGATATCCTTCACTTTGGGTAGTTCTTACCACAGAAACATTTTATGCGTCTTTATATGTGTATTTTATATCAAGAAACACGTTACGTTGTATCAACATGTACCCAACCTACATGTACACAAAGGCAAAAATTGCATACCATAATCATCGATTTTATTCTTACTTGTTCCATGATCTTAATTTCATTCTTAACAGACAAAGATGACCAAAAGGAATCGGTGAAATTAACCATGGCAGAGGTGGACGCCATTCGTACCAAATGCAGCAAATTCTACAAGTATCTGAAGCACCTGAAAATGGAAGAAACGGCTGGTAAAGAATCCTCAGTGAAAATCAGTTTTGATGAAGAGGAAAACTGTCCTGTAGGTAAGGATTGGGTGCGTGTGTTGTGCTCTGGCTGGCGGTGGTAGTGATGATGATTATGGTAATGATAACAGTGGGAATAAAACACACATACATACACACACAAACGCAAACACATATACACACACAAACAACAAACACATACACACACACACACACACACACACACACACACACACACACACACACACACACACACACACACACACACACACACACACACACACACACACACAGACACTCTCACACACACACTCACACACACACACTCACACACACACACACACACACACTCACACTCACACACACACACACACACACAACAACACACACACACACACACACACACACACACACACACACACACACACTCACACACAACACTGACACACACACTGACACACACACACACATACACACACACACACACACACACACACACACAACACACACACACACACATATAGATATACACAAATTACACATTCACACACACACCTACACACACATATACCCCGAATTCACGTACCCCACACACACACACGCACATACATAAACCCTTAACACTCAATATCTGTACATGTAAGTAATCACCATTACTAACAATCCTTTAATCCTCTAATCCTTTTCCAACTAATTAAGCATTAAAAACAAACCATTATCCACAACCCATGATATAAGTATGACAGTAACAGAGTCTTGGATAACCACTGACAGCCGACTACAAAGAGGATGTGTCATACAACCCTCTGTGTCAGCTGGAGGTCTTCTGTGACAAGTTCGGATGTTATGACTACAACCTTGACAGTGAGTATTGTAATTATGGTGAGCGTCTGTATGGTCTGATCCTATATGTATATATAGGTATTTATTTTTCTTTATATTTTTATGTTATTGTTTTATATGGTTTTACAACCGGGACAGTGAGTATTGTGATTATGGTGATTTCTGTATGGTGTGATGTTATTGTTTTTTAGTTCATCTTTTTCTTATTTTTTAAAGAATATTTCAAAAGCATGGCCTGTGTACGTTTTTTTTCTCTTTTGCATTTTACGTTGTTCCACGATAAAATTTAGTTGTACCATAAAGAGTTTTCGTTGTACATTATAAGCTTTTGTTGCTGTGCTATATGAAGGTTTCTTTATACCAAAATGATAAGTTTTCGTTGTACTATAAAGAGAAACGTAAATTGTACCATGATGTGAAGTTTTCGTTGTACTACACTAATACCTATTCCCAATTTGATTTTTTTTTTTTCTTACTGTACCATAAAAAATAATTTGTTTCAATGTATTCAAAGTTTTTGTCGCACCATATTAAGTTTCCTACGTACCATAATAAGGTGTTCTACCATAATAAAAATGTTTATATTGATTTCGAACAAAAAACTGTCCTTCCCCCAAGGTGAATAGATGACAAGAAGGTAAGATAATAATCGGAAAGGCTGGGAGGAGGGGAAAAGTCCCTCCCACCCAGCAAGTGAGGCGGACTGTGGGCCCTGCTGGGAGGGCGACTGCTGGAGCGCAGGCTGGGAACGGGAACTACTCGTCTCGCCTGCGCTCTGGTGGCCGCCAGCCCAGAGTGAAGCTTGTGGGGGAAAGCCCTCGGGAACCCCACAGGTGGATGATGGGGCACGCAGCCCGCCATCCCCTTTTATATGGGGCAGCATCGGTGGGGGTGGCAGAGGTGGCATCCACCCGGAGCGACTGCCAGAGGCTGAACCTCAGGCGGGAAGTCAGGGTGGGGGCTTGGAATGTCCGTTCTTTGCGTCAGGATGATTGGTTGCATCTACTGTCGAGGGAACTGGGGAGGCTGAGAGTTGAGGTGGCTGCTCTCTCGGAGGTGAGGAGGCTTGGCAGCGGCATGACCTGTGTAGGTGGCTACACCTATTACTGGTCGGGCCGCAGCGACGGCCACCATCTCCAGGGAGTAGCCATTGCCATCTCCAGCAGACTCCAGCCCTCGGTAGTAGAGGTTACTCCTGTTGATGAGCGTATAATGGTATTGAGATTGAAGCTATCCTTTGGCTTCATGTCTCTTATTGCTGTGTACTACCGATGTTTGTAAACTTGACGTGAAAGAGATGTTCTACGCCAAACTTACATCTGTGGTAGACAGATGTCCCCGGCGAGATATTCGCATTGTTCTGGGTGACTTCAATACGGTATCTGGCTGTGATTGAGCTGGCTATGAGATGACTGTCGGTCCCCATGGTTCAGGAGCTGATGCCAGTAGTGAAAATAGCCTCCTTTTCCGGGACTTTGCTAGGTCCCAGAAATTGAGGATTTCTGGCTCCTGGTACCAGCGCCCAGACCCACATCGCTGAACATGGTACAGTGATGCAGGTAATGCAGCCAAGGAGATTGACCACATACTCGTTAGCACTCGTTGGAGGATCCTTCAAAATTGCAGGGTGTACAGGAGTGCTGAGTTCTGTGGTACTGACCATAGATTGGTTGTGGCTACCCTCCGGGTCCACTTCAAAACTCCCCAGCGGTCAAATGATCACCCTAGGGTGTTTCATTTGGATAGGCTGAGGGAGGGGGAGTGTGCCCGGGGGTTTGCTGAGGCAATCTCTGATCGTTTCGCAATGCTTACAGACTCTGTTCTTCTGTGGGATACCTTTAAGCGTGAAACGCTTGATGCAGCTCAAGATACGATTGGTGTACGCCTGAGAGCAGTACAGAATTCCATCTCGCAGGAGACACTGGAAGCCACAGATGCATGTCGTGCGGCTCGTCTGACAGGGGATCGGGAATTACACCGTTCTCATGTGCGCAGAACTCGGTCCCTGTTAAGAAGGGACAAGAAACAGTTTATTAGGAGTCTTGCAGAGGAGGTAGAAGGCCATTTCTTAGTAAATGACCTTCGTCCTGCATACCAAGCCCTGAGAAAGCTAACTCCAAGCCCTCTTCACAGGTGACAGCAGTTCGCTCAGTAAGTGGTCAGATCGTTTCAGATCCTGTTGCGGTGCGAGAACGTTGGGCTGAGTATTTTGAGCAGCTGTACCAGGTTGACCCACCAACAGTTAACTTGGATGCGGGTAGTGTCGAGATCCCCCTGCCGGATCCACCCATCAGCGAGGACCCTCCCTCCCTAACTGAAGTTAGGGGGGCGATTTTCCAAAAGAGTGGTAAAGCAGCGGGTATCTGCGGCATACCAGCTGAACTGTTAAAGACTGGTGGTGAACCTATGGCACGGGGGTTACATGCTGTCCTGGCTGCCATCTGGCGGTCTGGTTCCGTTCCTCCTGACCTGTTGAGGGGTGTGGTCATCCCTCTCTGGAAGGGGAAGGGGGACCGTTGGGACTGCAGCAATCACCGAGGCATCACACTGCTCAGTATACCAGGCAAGGTTCTCTCCCCATCCTTGTGAGACGTATCAGAGAACATCTACTGAGCACCAGAGACTGGAGCAATCTGGATTCACTCCTGGTAAGTCCACAATAGACCGTATCCTCGCGCTTCGAGTCATTGTAGAGCGCCGCCGTGAGTTCGGGCGTGGGCTGCTTGCAGCCTACATCGACCTCAAGAAGGCGTTCGATACGGTGCATCGGGAATCACTTTAGGAGATCCTGAGGCTGAGAGGAATTCCAACAAGGATTATTGGACTAATAGCAAGCCTGTATACTGGTACTGAAAGTGCTGTAAAGTGTGTGGTGGGGGGCCTGTTAGTTCAGGAGTGAGGCAAGGCTGTGTCCTTGCACCAACTCTTTTCAACACTTGCATGTACTGGATACTGGGCAGAGCTACTGTTCAAAGTCATTGTGGAGCAACACTGGGCAATATCAAGGTTACAGACCTTGACTTTGCTGATGACGTTGCCATTCTATCTGAGTCTTTGGAAACCCTAGTGGCGGCTCAATGCATTTAGCAATGAAGCGAAGCCCTTGGGTCTAGAGATCTCTGGACCAAGACCAAGGTCCAGGAATTTGGGGACTTGTTAGGAGAACCTGTTCAGTCGGTACGTGCTTGCGGCGAGGACATTGAAGTCACAGAGAGCTTTACATACCTTGGTAGTGTAGTTCAAACTCTGGGCTGTCAGACCATGAAGTCAGCAGACGGATTGGCCTGGCAGCAGGGGTCATGAACTCTCTCAACAAGAGTATTTGGAGATGTCGGTACCTATGCAGAAGGACCAAGCTACGGGTTTTCAAGGCCCTGATAATACCAGTTTTGTTATACGGTAGCGAAACCTGGACATTGTCCTGTGCCTTGGAGGCTCGTCTTGAAGCCTTTTGTAATAGGTCCTTCCGCCAGATTATGAGGTACTGTTAGCGGGACCATGTGTCCAACCAACGGTTGCACCGTGAGACTGGCACAGGACCTGTTATCTGCACAATCCGTGATCGCCAACTCAGGCTATACGACCACCTGGCTCGCTTTCCTCAGGATGATCCTGGCCATCAGGTCGTCTCTGTTCGAGACAACCCTGGGTGGAGGAGGCATGTGGGACGACCGAGGAAGTCGTTTTTTTTTCTTTCTTTTCTTTTTCTTTTCTTCAAGTAAACAAAAGTATTTAGAAACTTTGGTCTCTTGAGAATGGTCCTTCTTGAAACCCAGAAAGGAGAGATAAAAATGGAAGAATGAAAGAGAATCAGAGAAGCAGAAGAAGAGAGAAGGAAGTGAAACGACGAAAACGAGAAAAGAGAGAAGAGAGAGAAAAAACGGAAATCGAAAGAATAAAGAAGAAAAACCCATTCTAGATCCTAGGATATCCACGTAGAAACACAACACATTTTTCACTCAGCTTAACATAACATTCATACAAAGACAAAAGCAAATAAATAGATAAATATGCACATCCGCGTATAAAATCAACACGTCATTCACAAAGCGTAATATAACATTCATACAAAAAATAAAATAAAACAATACGCATTTTATCAAAGGAGGGGATTCAAAGCCCCTCAGACCTTCACTCTCAGAAAAAATCTCTTTCGACTCTCTCTCTCTCTCTCTCTCTCTCTCTCTCTCTCTCTCTCTCTTCTCTCATCTCTCTCTCTCTCTTCTCTCCTCTCTCTCTCTCTCTCCCTCTCTTCTCTCTCTCTCATCCCCTTCTCTCTTCTCTCTCTTCTCTCTCTCCTCCTCCCTCCTCTCCTCTCTCTCTCTCTCTCTCTCTCTCTCTCTCTCTCTCTCTCTCTCTCTCTCTCTCTCTCTCTCTCTCTCCCTTCTCTCTCTCTCTCTCTCTCTCTCTCTCCTCTCTCTCCCTCCCTCCTCCCTACCTCCTCCCTCCCCTCCCCTCCTCCTCCCTCTCTCTCCTGAAGGCTGACGCTGCACTGGGCTCGTGGCACGTGGGTCGCCCCGAGGTCCTCCGCCCAGGGTATTCACTGGATTTCCGGCCGCCCTTCGTTTCCCTATTGTTCCCGAGGCGTGGTGGGGGCGCCTTCAGATCTGGAATTATGATTGTTGATTATATGTATATAT